ACTGCCTGCCAAATTTTCACGCTTCGTTGCTGTAGGGAGTTTTCCTTTAGAGTCTCTCTAAAATCCTTTTTTCTCTTTATTTTACTGCCTGTCAATTTTTTTTGTTACGTTGCTGTAGGGAGCTTTGCTTTAGAGTTTCTCTAAAATCCTTCTTTCTCTTTATTTTACTGCCTGTTTTTTTTTATTGCAATGTTCCTATAAGGAGCTTTGCTTTAGAATTTCTCTAAAATCCTTCGTTCTCTTTTTTTACTGTATGTCAATTTTTATTGCTATGTTCCTGTAGGGAGCTTTGCTTTAGAGTTTCTCTAAAATCTTTCTTTCTCTTTATTTTAGTGCCTGTTAATTTTTATTGCTATGTTCCTTTAAGGAGTTTTCCTTTAGAGTTTCTCTAAAATCCTTCGTTCTCTTATTTTACTGTATGTCAATTTTTATTGCTATGTTCCTGTAGGGAGCTTTGCTTTAGAATTCCCGTAAGACCCTTCGTTCTCTTTCTTTTACTGCCTGCCAATTTTTCATGCTTCGTTGCTGTAGGGATTTTTGCTTTAGAGTTTCTCTAAAATCCTTTTTTCTCTTTATTTTACTGCCTGCCAATTTTTTTTGTTACGTTGCTTTAGGGAGCTTTGCTCTAGAGTTTCTCTAAAATCCTTATTTTTCTTTATTTTACTGCCTGCCAATTTTTCATGCTTCGTTGCTGTAGGGAGTTTTTCTTTAGAGTTTCTCTAAAATCCTTTTTTCTCTTTATTTTACTGCCTGTCAATTTTTTTGTTACGTTAATGTAGGGAGCTTTGCTTTAGAGTTTCTCTAAAATCCTTCTTTCTCTTTATTTTACTGCCTGTTAATTTTTATTGCAATGTTCCTTTAAGGAGCTTTCCTTTAGAGTTTCTCTAAAATCCTTAGTTCTCTTTTTTTACTTCATATCAATTTTTATTGCTATGTTCCTGTAGGGAGCTTTGCTTTAGAATTCCCCTAAGACCCTTCGTTCTCTTTATTTTACAACCTGCCAATTTTTCATGCTTCGTTGCTGTAGGGAGTTTTGCTTTAAAGTTTCTCTAAAATCATTTTTTCTCTTTATTTTACTGCCTGTCAATTTTTTTTGTTACGTTGCTATGGGGAGCTTTGCTTTAGAGTTTTTCTAAAATCCTTCTTTTTCTTTATTTTACTGCCTGCCATTTTACTGCCTGCCAATTTTTCATGCTACGTTGCTGTAGGGAGCTTTGCTTTAGAGTTTCTCTAAAATCCTTTTTTCTCTTTATTTTACTGCCTGTCCATTTTTTTTGTTACGTCGCTGTAGGGAGCTTTGCTTTAGAGTTTGTCTAAAATCCTTCTTTCTCTTTATTTTACTGTATGTCAATTTTTATTGCTATGTTCCTGTAGGGAGCTTTGCTTTAGAATTTCCCTAAGACCCTTCGTTCTCTTTATTTTACTGCCTGCCAATTTTTCATGCTACGTTGCTGTAGGGAGCTTTGCTTTAGAGTTTCTCTAAAATCCTTTTTTCTCTTTATTTTACTGCCTGTCCATTTTTTTTGTTACGTTGCTGTAGGGAGCTTTGCTTTAGAGTTTGTCTAAAATCCTTCTTTCTCTTTATTTTACTGTATGTCAATTTTTATTGCTATGTTCCTGTAGGGAGCTTTGCTTTAGAATTTCCCTAAGACCCTTCGTTCTCTTTACTTTACTGCCTGACAATTTTTCATGCCACGTTGCTGTGGGGAGCTTTGCTTTAGAGTTTCTCTAAAATCCTTTTTTCTCTTTATTTTACTGCCTGTCCAATTTTTTTTGTTACGTTGCTGTAGGGAGCTTTGCTTTAGAGTTTCTCTAAAATCCTTCTTTCTCTTTATTTTACTGCCTGCCTGCTTTTTCATCATGCTTGCTGTGCTGTAGGGAGTTTTGCTTTAGAGTTTCTCTAAAATCCTTTTTTCTCTTTATTTACTGCCTGTCAATTTTTTTTGTTACGTTGCTGTAGGGAGCTTTGCTTTAGAGTTTCTCTAAAATCCTTCTTTCTCTTTATTTTACTGCCTATGTTCCTGTAGGGAGCTTTGCTTTAAGTTTTCTACCTTCGTTCTTTTTTTTTACTGTAAATTTTTATTGCTACGTTGCTGTAGGAGCTTTCTTTAGAGTTTCTCTAAAATCCTTTTTTCTCTTTATTTTACTGCCTGTCAATTTTTTTTGTTACGTTGCTGTAGGGAGCTTTGCTTTAGAGTTTCTCTAAAATCCTTTTTTCTCTTTATTTTACTGCCTGTCATTTTTTTTGTTACGTTGCTGTAGGAGCTTTGCTTTAGAGTTTGTCTAAAATCCTTCTTTCTCTTTATTTTACTGTTGTCCTATGTTCCTGTAGGAGCTTTGCTTTAGAATTTCCCTAAGACCCTTCGTTCTCTTTATTTTACTGCCTGCCAATTTTTAATGCTTTGTTGCTGTAGGGAGCTTTGCTTTAGAGTTTCTCTAAAATCCTTTTTTCTCTTTATTTTACTGCCTGTCATTTTTTTTGTTACGTTGCTGTAGGGAGCTTTGCTTTAGAGTTTCTCTAAAATCCTTTTTTCTCTTTATTTTAATGCCTAATTTTTTTTGTTACGTTGCTGCAGGGAGCTTTGCTCTAGAGCTTTCTCTTTAGAGTTTCTCTAAAATCCTTCGTTCTCTTTATTTTACTGCCTGCCAATTTTTATTGCTACGTTCCTGTAGGGAGCTTTGCTTTAGAATTTCTCTAAAATCTTTCGTTTCTTTTTTTACTGTATGTCAATTTTTATTGCTATGTGCCTGTCTTTGCTTCTTTCCCTTTATTTTACTGCCTGCCAATTTTTTTTGCTACGTTGCTGTAGGGAGCTTTGCTTTAGAGTTTCTCTAAAATCCTTTTTTCTCTTTATTTTACTGCCTGTCAATTTTTTTTGTTACGTTGCTGTAGGGAGCTTTGCTTTAGAGTTTCTCTAAAATCCTTCTTTCTCTTTTTTTTACTGCCTGTTAATTTTTATTGCAATGTTTCTATAAGGAGCTTTCCTTTAGAGTTTCTCTAAAATCCTTCGTTCTCTTTATTTTACTGCCTGCCAATTTTTCATGCTACGTTGCTGTAGGGAGCTTTGCTTTAGGATTTCCCTAAGACCCTTTGTTCTCTTTATTTTACTGCCTGTTAATTTTTGTTGCTACGTTGCTGTAGGGAGCTATGCTTTAGAGTTTCTCTAAAATCCTTCTTTCTCTTTATTTTATTGCCTGTTAACTTTTATTGCAATGTTCCTATAAGGAGCTTTCCTTTAGAGTTTTTCTAAAATCCCTCGTTCTCTTTATTTAACTGTCTGTCAATTTTTATTGCTATGTTGCTGTAGGGAGCTTTGCTTTAGAATTTCTCTAAAATCCTTCGTTCTCTTTTTTATACTGTATGTCAATTTTTGTTGTTATGTTCCTGTAGGGAGCTTTGCTGTAGAATTTCCCTAAGACCCTTCGTTCTCTTTATTTTACTGCCTGCCAATTTTTCATGCTACGTTGCTGTAGGGAGCTTTGCTTTAGAGTTTCTCTAAATTCCTTTTTTCTCTTTATTTAACTGCCTGTCAATTTTTCATTCTACGTTGCTGTAGGGAGCTTTGCTCTAGAGTTTCTCCAAAATCCTTCTTTCTTTTTTTTTAACTGTCTGTAAATTTTTATTGCTACGTTGCAATAGGAAGATTTGCTTCAGAGTTTCTCTAAATTCTTTCTCTTTAGCATCTCTTTAGTAGCCTTGATACCCTCAGATGACGAAAATGCAATAGGCAGTTGACTAAAAATATATTTTTGCAGGGTATTAATCCAAAGATTTCATGATTTCATTCAATTTTTTATGCTGATGTTTGAGGAGTAAAACTTCAGAAAAATTTTGTTTTGTATAGCACAATCACAGTTTCTTTTACCCTCAGTAAATTATGCTGTATTTATTTGCTTTTTTTTACAATGTAATACTATAAGCTTTTTTGATAAAGAGATAAATTTGCACTTTGGCGGTATCCAGGACGGCGTGCAATCTCCTTAAACCCCCAAAAGGATGAAATTTCCGCCTTTCTCTGCTCACGTACAAAATAACCAAAACCTTTGACCAAATGGATGCAAGAATGATGCATGTGTTTTTGTCACCATAATATAAGCCTTTCTGGGTGGGTTATTAAACGTTCCTAGAGAATATTCCATTTTCTCAAGCCTTTGTTGCGTTCCCAAGTTGTAATTTTTTGGTGAGTAGCCCTTCCCTCTTCCATGTCCCCTTTTGTGTAAAAGGAAAAGCACCCCTTAACGCGATACTTTTATCTTGAAACTCCAAATATTTATGTGTTCCATTTTACTGAGGCTTCTCCCTGCTGACCACCTTCAAAAAAAGGTATATCCACATAATAATTGTTTCGGGAGATTGCACGAGAATGCTACAAAATTGATGCCTCTGAGGGATAAAACAGATACTTTAACGCGCCCATGCTCCTTTAAGGTCATTTTCGATCCACCAAAGTGCTCAATTCCTGGCACACTTTTCAAATGCTACATCAAAACTTATGCATCAAATAAACCTTTCATCGCAAAAAGACCATTGAGGTATCACTAGAAAACCTTTCAAATGACTTCTAAGCTTTTTATTGAAGTTGCCAATTTTGACCGCGAAAAGCTTTTACTAAGGTTTTCGAACTTAGTTTTGCTTAAGACACAAAAAGCAAGCAGTCTCTGCAAGCCCCGCTGTTTAAAACAAACCATGATCTTCATAACATCAAATTCAGAACAAAAAATGCTTGAAATTTGTTCTAAAGCTCTTCCAATATTCAATGGAAGAAGTATGTGCTTGGAGGGGCGCCTTTGAAAGGGACTAAGCCGCCTTGAACCTAGGTTTCGTAAGAGGACATCCTTCTTTTGAAGCAACGGAATGCTGTAAGGGACAAGCACCCCAAAGAAACCAACAACACAGTCACCCTTTAGAACCATGTACGACGGCACCTCTCTGTGTAGCTTTTGATTTTAAGGGATAAGACATTTCAGCTAAAAGTTACATTTTTCATTAAATTTTCTAGGAGAAATTTTCGCTGTCGCAGACACCCAGTGGACGCCGCAATAAAAGATGATGTCGATGCATCTGTAGCAAAGAGGCAAACGCACACGAAGGAAAGGTTTACCACATGAACCAAGTCTCTATACAGAAATCCAATACAGACACTTTCCTTGTTTCTAATCGTTTAAAGATTTTGCAGCCACAAGAACGTTGCAGACAATTCCATTCCGTATGGCATGTAAACTTGATTTCTCACGCTCGGCCTTGTAACATCTCTTTGTAACATGTCCAGTCGCCTTTAGCTCCTGAATGGAATGCCCCCCTCGCCCTTAATGTGCCGCTTATGTGCCGCCTAACTACCGAAATTGTTCGGCCTAACTGCCCAGAATTAAGTAGGGTAACTCTGAACGGAAAGCTGCAATTTGGAGCCATCTATTGTCGGGAAATGTACAAAGAAGTCTCTAAGTTAACCATAAACACACCCTCTTCGATCGCGTGGAACATAGGTCGATGCAATATCCAGGGCAATCGCAAGGCAAGCCTTGCTGAGGGGGGAGGTGTGGACGACAAATTTACCTGATTATTAAACAATTACCTGAAATTCTTAACATGCTGAAGCAAACCTCTGCAATACTTTTTGTCAATCTAACGGTGTGGCATATAATTCGCAATTTTCAATTTTTTATGATTATAACGGACTTTTATAATAGTTTTGTCAAATCTGTATATCGGGACGGGCAAGGATATACCTACCCGAGCCCGCACCATGGTTGCCGCCGAGGGACTAGAAAATTTTCGAATTTCGATGCTTCCAGTTCCCTGGAAAATACATTTTTTACCAAATTTTACTAAAGCAATCCTATTAATCCTATTAAAAATTCTTTTATTTTTACAAACAAATTGAGCAGCAGATAAAAACAACTGGTAAAATTTTTCCGTGGTCTTGAAAAATTCCATGTTGTCAGTTACCTCTAAAGCCAGGTAACAAGCAGCACTGGTTGTCAATTTAGATCCCTCTTTCCAACCTAGCATGCCTTTTGAATGTTACAAAAAAACCTGGAGCTCATTATGAATTGCAGTTGACGCTTCTACCGAGGAACTTTAGGGGAAATGGACACATGGCACAATTTTACCTAAAGAGGGCATGGATTATTAAATTTTGTGCCAACAAGAAATCTTCAAATCTTCAAATCATTAGTTTGTTTACCTTCCTTCATATCAAAGAATGTCATATTTAACCAAAGGAGCAACTACCTTTGCTTAATTCTTTATTGATTTTAAGACATGAAGGTCTCTGAAAAACCTAAAGCCTTTCTTCCACTGGGCGGACTTTACCTGGAATTTCCTATCAAGATGTTATTGAGGAGGTGTGACACCCCCCCCCCTCAGTCGCGACGCCCCTGGCAATATTGAACCCCTTTCCTACTTCTACCCTTGCATGTTTAGTAAAGGTATATTCTGAAGCTACTTAACACCCTTATTGCCCTCTCAAACTCTCCTTTTTAAACCGTGAACGACCAGTGTCGTCTAGCTAGTGCGAAAAGCCTCCATCTCCATCGGGAGCATTCCCCATCATTGATACATTGTTTACGTAGAGAGTATTTTGCGATGAAGCTTTAGAAATCGTCTATTGAATTTCTTTTGTTTGAAGTGAGAATCTTTTGAATTGTTGGTTTTTAGGAAAGATAATTTTTACTCGCTCATCCAAAAGGGTAAAGTAAACGTCCTTTTGTGGAATGGTAGCATGGATTGAGATAAATATTGCTTATTTTCTGTGTATTTTTCCTGTTTTGCGTTTAAAAGATATTTGATATTCCAGCCGGCCCGGCCCTCACCTCTTAGTGTTTTCACAAAGAGAGGCTTTTGTCTGAAATTGAATGGCCAGTGTTTCAGCTAAAAGTTGCATTATTGGCGAAACCATATACAGTATCAAATTTTAGTTTCGACCATTGGATGCGGGAGGTTGCGGCCGTCCTTGTGGTATTTCGTTTTGACGAATAGGACCGATTTATGCAAAGTTATTCGACTTTTTCTTGGCTGAGAGCAAGGGGGATTCAGGTTTACATAAAGGCGTTCAGAAAAAACAATAGGCTTGTGATTCCCCGAGTTTCTAAAGACTTGGGTTTTTAGCGATTTACTCAAAAAGTATCACAGTTACAAGTTTTTGAGCGCATCCATGAGATGGGCCGTTTGATGCTCGATTTTTTGAGCCGTTTCCCGTATTTTTAGGTCCTGTTTTTGCCGAGTTATTGAGGATTTAGTGATTAAAACACGCAAAAAACGGTTTTTTGCACTTTAAAAATCGAAAACAGCCAATAAAAATTCTGCGACACTTTCAAAAAATCACTGATTTTTGGCTCGATTTTTTGAGCTATTGCTTGTTTTGTTTGAAGCTTGCGTTACTGAATAAACTCGATTTTTCCGAAAAGTGCACTTTTCAAATTTTCTCAAATTTGCATCGCAGCGACCGATCAAGCTCAAACCGGTAACTGCGGCGGCGGCCAAAACTTTTTCTTGAAAAACGATGTTTAATTGGTTTTTTAAAGGCAGGAAAAGTTTGTTAACGGGTAAATATGCGTCCTAGATTCGATTTAAATGCATTTAAGTGGAAATTCATTAATTTTGAACATTTCGACGGAATTGCCCCCTTGCTGCTAGCCGCCCGTCGTCTAATTGGCTTGTTCGGTGAAACAAGTATGGAAAAAATAGTTCCTTTCCACAATTCCTCTTTAAGCATCGCTATATCATATTTGCTCTTGCAAATAAGAGAAGAATAAATTGTTTGCGATATTGATATCTTCGATTGCTCAATTTCAGTCTACGGGAAACGTCCTTCAAATTTGGATTTGGATCAAATTTGGTGTTTAATTGAAATTTAGAAAACAGGTAACGGGTAAGAAGCTTTCTAGATTCGATTTAAATGCATTTAAAGTGCATTTCATGACTTTTTAAATTTTCGATGCATCTGCCCTCATGTTGCTAGCCGCCCGTCGCCCGATCGGCTTGTTCGGTCAAAAAACTCTCAAAGCTGTCTGATTTTCACAGTTTTTGGGAATTTCCATTTCTTTTGTTCTAATCATTAGATCCTCAATAACTCGGCAAAAACAGGTCCTAGAATTACGGGAAACGGCTCAAATAAACGAGCATCAAACGGCCCATCTCATGGATGCACTCAAAAATTTGTAACTGTGATACTTTTTGAGTAAATGGCGAAAAACCCAAGTCTTTAGAAAATTGAGGAATCACAAGCCTATTGCTTTTACTGAACGCCTTCATGTAAACCTGAATCCCCCTCGCTCTCAGCCAAGTAAAAGTCGAATAACTTTGCATAAATCGGTCCTATTCGTCAAAATGAAATACCACAAGGACGGCTGCAACCTCCCGCACCCAATGGTGGAAACTAAAATTTGATACTGTATATGGTTTTGCCAATAATGCAACTTCTAGCTGAAACATTGGCCATTCAATTTCAGACAAAAAGCTCTCTTTGTGAAAACACTAAGAGGTGAGGGCCGGGCCGGCTGGAATATCAAATACCTTTTAAACGCAAAGCAGAAGAAATACACAGAAAATGAGCAATATTTATCTCAATCCATGCTACCATTCCAGAAAAGGACGTTTACTTTACCCTTTTGGATGAGCAAGTAAAAATTATTTTTCCTAAAAACCAACAATTCAAAAGATTCTCACTTCAAACAAAAGAAATTCAATAGACGATTTCTAAAGCTTCATCGTAAAATACTCTCTTAATTTGTTGAGGGTGGCAATTGACAAGGCCGAACTTAAAAGGAGAACATAAACAACCTATCAATGATGGGGAATGCTCCCGACGTAGATGGGCATTTGAGCACCGTTCATATATTCTGTTTCATATATTCAGTTCAGTTTCATATTTTAAATTCTCCACATACAATTTATCATAACAAAACTAATTAATACAAACAAATAACTAAACTACAATAATAACAATAATGCACCTAAAATTAATACAACATACAAATACCGAACAAAGAACAAGATTAATTGCATGGGGGGAATTACTTAAAGGAAGAGCTCTCTCAGTAGTTAAACTAATCGAGGAGAGAGCACCCCCTGTTTCAAAAATTTCTCATACAAATTTGATTATTTTAGGCATAAAAGAAACTATGGGCAGATGGTGACTTTCTATATCAATAGGTTTACAATCAACTTTGGTAATAGAGAGTCTCGAAAAGGAGAGTCTCGGAGAGTCCAATGGGACAAGGTGTTGAGTAGTTTATAAATATACATTTACTAAGGATTCAGGGGTGGGGTAGAAAAGAGGCTCGATTTTGCATTGACCCATGTTTCTCGCGATTGCAGAGGTTGTTTATCGTTAACTTAGGGACTCCTTTACACATTTTCCGACAATAGATGGCTCCAAACAGCAGCTTTCTATTCAGAGTTACCCTTACCCTACTTAATCTTCGGCGTTTAGGCGGCACAAAAGCTTCAAGGGCAAGGGCCTTTACAAAGGTGAGTGTGAGAAATCAAGTTTACATGCCATGGGGAAAGAAATTTCCTGCAACGTTTCTATGCATGGAAAATCTTCAAAACTGAAAACGATAACAAACTAGGAAAAAGTGTCTGTATTGGATTTCTGTATGGAGATTTGGTTCATTCGCTAAAACTTTTCTTCATCAGCGTTTGCCTCTTTGTTACTGATGCATCGACATCATCTTCTGTTGCGGCGTCCACTGGGTGTCTGCAGCATTCACCTAAAAATTTAATGAAAATGTCACTTTTGGCTGTAATGTCTTATCTTTTTAAATTGACAGATACACAGAGAGGTGCGGTCATACATGGTTATAAAGAGTGACTGTGCTGCTGGTTTCTTTGAGGTGCTTGCCCCATACGGCATTCCATTGCTAAGATTTAACGAAGACACTTCTATAAGGAGCAAAACAGAATCTCGTCTACATCAATCAATTCTGGAAAATTTTTAGCCATAAAAAGAGATTGGTTTACGTGCAAATCTGCTCACGAAGGAATTTGTTTTTAAAGAAGGAAATCCTCTTACGAAATTTAGGTTACGGCAGCTGAGTCCCCTTCAAAGGCGACCCTCTAAACACATACTTCTTCCATTAAATATTCAACCTTCCTGAATATTTAATTTTATTGAACTTCTTCCTTAATTTGATGTTATAAAGATCATAGTTTGTTTTAAACAGCGAGGCTTGCAGAGACTGCTCACTTTTTTGTGTCGTTAGCAAAAAGAAGTTCGCAAACTCATTCAAAGCTATTCATAAGCAAAGTTGGCAACTTCAATAAAGAGCTTAGAAGTCGTTTGAAAGTCTTTCTAATGATATCTCAATGGTCTTTCTGTTATGAAAGGTTTATTTGATGCATAAGTTTTGATGTAGCATTTGAAAGTAAGCCGGGAATTGAGCTCTTTGGTGGATCGAGAATGACCTAAAAGGAATATTGGTGCGTGATTGGCTATTTAGTTTCGCCTCTCTAGTGATTTTCGATCCAAAACGTTGTTTTCGGTTTTCTGTGCAGTCTTGATATTAGCCATTGTCATTTGATCATTGTCATTGGTTGTATTTAAATTAATCGAACTTGATCATTGATAATTTTGCAAATAATCATCATTAGTGACAGTTTGATAAAAGTTGCGATTTCCTGCTTGTACAACAGTTTCTTGTTGCCTGAGATAATATTTTATCAATGATTTGCACGGCATTCAAGTTGCACCTGTATACCCAAGAGGCATCAATTTTACTGTGTTCTTGCGTAATCTCCCGACCCAATTATTCTGTGGATATACCTCTGTTTGAAGGTGGTCAGCAGGGAGCAGCCTAAGTGAAATGGAACACATAAATATTGGAGTGCAAATTTATCTCTTTATAAAAAATTGCTGATAAAAATACGTTGTAAAAAACAAACAATAATTCAGCATAATTCACTGTTTGTAAAAGAAAATGTTAATGTGCTATACAAAAACATACTGAATTTTGCTCCTCAAACAACATAAAAATTAACGAAATCAGCCCTGTGGAAAAGGGGTAGGGAAATTGAAAATCAATATTCAACGTAGTATCTTCGGATTAATACCCAAGAAAACTCCCAGCTGGCTCTATAAATGCTCAAGCTGGCTAAATCAACGCCCTCGCTGGCTAAATCAACGCCCTCGCTGGCTAAATCAACGCCCTAGCTGGCTAAATCAACGCCCTAGCTGGCTAAATTAACGCCCTAGCTGGCTCAAAGAATGCCTTGGCTGGCTAAATGAAAGCCCTAGCTTGCTCTGCAAACGCTAAATCTGGCTAAATGAGCGCCCTATCTTGCTCTATAAACCTCCAGGAAAGCTCAATAAACATCCTAGCTAGCTCTGTAAACGGCTTGCTAAATAAATGCCCTTTCTTGCTATGAAAACACCTCTGCTGTCTAAATAAACGCCAGGAATGGCTAGATAACGCCATATCTGGCTCAATAAACACCCCTTCTGGCTAAATAAACGCCCCTGCAGGCTAAATAAACACCCCTGCAGGCTCAATAAATGTCTGGACTGGCTGGCTAAATAAACTTCATGTAGGATAAATAAATGTCCTGTTTGACTAAATAAACGCCCCTGCAGTTTCAATAAATGTGCTGTGTGCTCAAATAAACGCCCCTGCAGGCTCAATAAATGCCTTGACTGGCTATATAAACGTTCTGTCTAGCTGAATAAACGCCCCTGCAGCCCCTGCAGGCTCAATAAATGCCTTGACTGGCTATATAAACGTTCTGTCTAGCTAAATAAACGCCCCTGCAGCCCCTGCAGGCTCAATAAATGTGCTGTTTGGCTAAAAAAAAGCCCCGGCAGGCTCAGTAAATGCCTTGACTGGCTTAATAAACGCCCCTGCAGGTTCAATAAATGTGCTGTTTGGCTAAATTAACGCCCC